TCTGGGAGTAACTTACTCATTTATTATATTCTACTCATTCAACACTTCATCAAATTATCCGTAACACTCTGGCCTTCCATGCCTTATATTAGCATCTAGCTTACAACCGTTGGGATACGTTCTATCGTTTATTATATGGTCGGACTAGTTCGTATTCTACACACGCGCGGGCCTTGCAGGCCAAAGGCGTCATGCATCAGCGGATGATCTTGGGTTCCAAGTGGCTGCTAGAGTCCACAGCAGTTGTTCAGTTCTTCAACCGCGTGGCTCGGTGCGCGGAAGCAAAATGCATACAACAGTACGACCATAGAGTCTGAAGACACGCACCATGCACACCGCAACTGGCTAGCTGTAGGGCTAATAACTTCGTGCGAATGACATCTAGTGAGCGTATAATTGATTTGCATCTACCGCACTCTCCCCCCTCCCCACCTGGGCCTGGTGTCATCACAAATTCAGGAAGACCGGAAACAGGACAGCAGGCTGGCGCGTCCAAGGGCGCCCCTAAGTGTGCTGCCATACCTAGCTCGGATACCACTGATTGAGAGGGCCATAAAGGCCACAGTAAGAAAAAGCCATTGTGGCCTGACTGTCATTCCATCAATCCAAACAAACACACACTGGATTGACCACACGGTCCGAGTTATCCCGTCAGTTGGCAACCTCCAAGTCAGGGCTTTCAGCAAGCTGTGATAGTTTCAAGCGCATTAGATCTTTCATTATGAGGAAAGTACGTCTGAACGTCGACTTCACTCTCTATTCCCAGGTCACAGTCACCGTCCAAACCGTTCAGTTTTCAGACGCAGGCATTGGCTGAAAGGGTAGGCGAAACCGTCTGCTCGGGCCACGGTAGGACCTGCCCCCCTCGACGCACACAGGAGGATTACCAAAAAATGGAAGTTAAGAAGTCGTCGCCGACTGAGTTCCTGTCCACCGGCCAACCATCCACTACACAACGCACACTGGGCTGATGACATTGTCTGGTATAAAGCGTCAGTTCGCAGGTTTCCAGGCCACTCTTTTTAGTAAACCGTGATAGTTTCAGGCTCGGATCATGCAGGAGTGGAGCCACACGGAGAAGGAGCCGGGTGCTGGCGGAGCGTCCGCGGAGTGATGAGCGTAAGTAGTATCGGTGGTAGTCGCCGTTGTGATCGACGTGTGAGTTGCAAGAGGGAAGATAGTATTGTTGAGCGAGGACGACGGGGCATCGGAAGTTTTAGCACTGGTGCTAGGGAGTGGTCGCCGTCGTGGGGATTGACACAGTGGGAACAGTATGGATGTACGTCGATGTGGAAGTTGCTTTTGTTGCATCGCGTTCAATGATGTCCGACCATGCTGATTCTCTCTGAGGTGTATTGGCAGCGCGGGCATATTGAGAGGGCTTGGGCGTTGGCAATGCAGATTCGAGGCACTTCAGACTTCTGAACCGCCCTTTTTGTCTTGGCAGCGGCGATCCGGTTGGCTTCGTAGATGGCGTCGCCAGCCTTCACTGCTCTTCTCCAGTCCTATCGGTCCAGGATGAGATCGTTGGATTGATTAGGATTCACTTCAGGGAGCTCTTTGGGTTGTCTCTGTAGCGCTTCTTTACCCTGTCGGCAAGCACGCATGGGACATCTTCGTGAAAAGGCGCTCATCGTCCAGCTTCACCAGGTGACCGATTCATCGCAGCCTCACTCGTCTCAACGTGGCGGACATGCTGAGTATTCCGATATACTCCAGGAGTTCCGTGTCGGGGATCGTGTCCTGTCATTTCAGCTTCAGTATTCTGTGGAGGCAGCTGAGTTGGAAGTAATAAGGTTTCCTGGCTTCGTTAGAGCAGGCGGTCTATTCGGGCGCCTTTTTTCATTTGCCAAACTGCCGCAAATTTCTGACCTATTCGCGACCCCTGAAACTGGATGAAGAAAACCTACCAATGGACGTCATAAGCACGATAGGCTGAGGCTTCTCTATGGCCTGAGGAAACTATCTCTTCTCATCATTGTGCTTTGCACAGTTTGCTTTATCATGCCGTCTGCGGAAGGCAGCTCTTCTGACCCAAAGCTCGGGGAGCATACCCATTTTCATGCGTTGAATCGCTGATAACCGCATAGACCAGTTGTCAACCGTGCATTTTCTTCACACAACGCTCTTCTCCTTAACTACCCAACCTCACTTCTCGATACGCGTATCCTAAAATGGCGGCCTGCTCACAGAATGTTGTTCGTTTGGACGAGACGAGATTCAGAGTACATAGGCCTCACCCATACTGATTCAACTACTTGTTCTATCTTGCTCATGAGGGAGTAGCGTGGGAGGATGAAGCTTGTGAGGAAATGAGCCACCTCACTCCGTACACAGTCTTCACGCTGCTCATACACACTTGTACTTGTTACGGCTTTGATCATACCTGATCTAGCCGGCCCCAATGATGTCACGAACGGTACCTCTCCATGCGTGG